GGGTAGCATATATATATATATATAAGTATGTATATATGGCTTCCGTTCGGCTTTAGTGGTTCTGACAAGGGGTGTGGACTTCTTGTTTTGTGGTGCTCGAAGTCTCGAGTTGGGGCTTGGGCTTTGGGGATGAGCATGTCGGGTTTTTGGGTTTAGGGCTTTAGAGTTCTAGGAGTTCTAGGGTTTTAGCTTTAGAATTTAGCTCTTTAGGGTTTGGGGTTTAGGGCTTTAAGGTTTAGGGCTTTAGGGTTCTAGGGGTTTTATTGTTTAGGCTGCAAGCTATGTAGGCATATGGTCTAGGCTTTGCATAGCGCTCAGGGTGAATCCTTTAGTCTAAGCCTTGCAGAACTCACAGAATCCCTACAGGGACCCTTAATAGGAACCCTTTCAAAACGCCATGCAAAGGAACCCTAAGTAGGAAACTTTAAACGAGCCTCTAAAGGAGTCCTCAAAGCCCACAGCTGGACCCTCTACTCTTCAGAGGTCCGCGGGCCCCTAATTTCTTACGCCCGAAGCCTCAACAGCACCCCATGTAAACAACAAGCCTTCAAGGCTCTCGTTTACAAATGAACCTACATAAAAAACTGTCCTATCGCCCAGCAACATATCTCACAACACACCAGAAGCACCCATAAAACCCTAATTAGCCAACTCTCGTAACACCCTGCACCCTCCAGCCAACCCCCAAACCTGAACCCTACGACGACCCTGAACACCGCACCGAAGGTCGAGTTCGAGACTCGGCACTTGATCACAACTTGTGTGAAGTTTGCGGATGCCGTTTTGTTGGGAGTTCATGGTTAGGGTTCCGGGTTCAGGGCTTAAAGGTTTAGGGTTTAGAGTTCAGGGATTAAAGGTTTAGGGTTTAGGGTTCAGGGATTAAAGGTTTAAAGTTTAGGGTTCAGGGTTCAGGGCTTAAGGGTTCAGGGCTTTTTCTAAGTGTTCGGGCTAAGGGGTTTAGGGTGTACTTTTCAGTTTTTTGGTGAGGGAGGAGGTTTAGGGTTCAGGGTTGGCTGGTTTTAGAAAGGCTTTTTAGCCAGATTTCCTGAAGGGGAGTGGAGTCTAGTATAGCTTATGGAAAAAGAGCAGAAGGCACCATGACTCTTTGTTTCATGCTTCGAGAGTTCAGGGCGTAGGTCTAGGGCTGAGGGTTTATGATTCATTGCTGAGGGTTTAGGGTTGGGGGAGTTCAGGGCTCAAGAACAGCTTAGGAAACCCATCTGCACGGCAGATCCCGATGCCTTCGAAGCCAAGCACTGGCGATTGATCGCAAAGTTCGGGCCAACCTGCTAGCGAGTGAAAACCGGCCCTATTCCAGGACACGTTTCTTAACTTACTATAACCGTAAACCCCATTGTTGACGACATCGTTGTTGGATCCAGGGGAACGGATTTCATAATGTTGGTGTCCTTTAGATTCAAATTTTCTTTCCGTCAACCACTAAAAGGATGAGCATAAGGGTGACTCAGGGTCACTCTCAGGGTGCTTTCAGGAGTACTATGAGGGTCACACTCTGAGGGCTGCTTTAAAAGGGCTGCCATATGAATATGCTATACTTTGATACTGCAACTCCCAGCAGATGCTGAAGACGTTTTTGTTCTGGGTTCAAAGGGCCAGGGGGTTTGTAGAAAACTGGCCGTTAAATCCTGATGAGGTTAGTTCCTAGGGTTTAGGATATAGGGTTTAGGGTTTAGGGCTTAGGGCTTATAGGGTTTAGGGCTTCATTTAGGGTAAAGCATGAACTCTTACGGATGAGGTTTGGGCTTTCGGGTTTAAGGAAACCTTGCGCGTGCGAGGCCTTAGGTGGCTTTACTGGGCTGTCGACCGGCTGTGATTTCCGGAGCGGATTACATTTGCGGGTGAATTGTGCTGTTCAGGCTTTGTATGACATAACAGGGTTTTGGATAGGGAAGCTCTTGGGATTCTGAATGACTCTGACGGATTTTGCTGTGGCAAATAGTGGTCAGGGCTTTAGGGTTCGATTTGGTTTTAAATAAACCCAAAGGCCCAAGCCCTAAACCCTAGACCAAAAAGCCCTAAACCCTAGGCCCTACACGCAAAGGGCATGAGCCCAATAAGTTATTGAGGCACAAGTTGTGAGGTTCTGAAGTTCTGGCATTTGCTGACAGATGCGAGTAGATAGTCAATTTCTGAGAGTTCTTACAGGTAGGTCTGCCAATTTAAGCATGCTGAGGGACCCACCTTAACCCTAAACCCGAATCCTTAAATCGGAAACCCTAAGCTTCAAAAAAGCCCGGTCGTTGTTTCTGGCAGCGTAGGCGGCTGCACTTCCGGTTTTGGGATCTACGTAGCCAGTCAGATTCATGGGTCCTGGGTGTACAGCTTATTTTTTGCTCTGTGGCTTAGGGATGTAGCACGTCGGTGATGCAGACGACGGAAGATAGCCGTGTCTGAATCTACGAACGAAGTCGCCGATCTTGCATCCTTGATCTAGTTCGATTGATGTTGGGTCATCAAGGACATATGGGTAGTTCTCTACATTAGGGTCCCTTTTAGGGTCCTTTCTATAAGGGTGCTGCACTACATTGGGGACCTAAAAGGGGACCCAATTTAGAGAACTAGCCCTCAAACCTAAACCTAAAGCCTAAATCCTAAGCCCCAAAACCCTCAAACCTCCTCAACCCTCAACTAGCCATATCCAGCATGCCCAGACTTGTGAGCAACCCTGAAAGCCCCTAAGCCCTACACCCTCCTTTACAGGCCTTGTAGAAGCTTAGGGTTTAGGGCTTAGGGTTTAGGGCTTAGGCTTTAGGGCTTATATAGGGTTTAGGGTTTAGTGGGATGATCTTGTGACCTCCCAGAACCTTAAATCGCAAATCTACAGCCCGAAAGCCCTAAACCTCACAGCTAGGGTTTAGGGTTTTAAGGGCCCTAAACCCGAAAGTGCTTTGACCCTGTCTAAACGCCCAACTCCTAAACCTCCAAACCCTAACGCCGAGCCCTAAACCAATCCGGGGAGGCATTCCAAGCCTTCCCGAGAGAGATGCCCGGCGCGCTTCTTTGCCGAAGATGGGGGCATGTAGGCTTGGAGGTGCCCCGAGTTTAGGGCTTTTGGAGGTTCGGGGCTCCGGGCTTTAGGCTTTAGGGGTTCGGGGTGCAGGGCTTGGCTTCAGGGATTGGATTGTTCAGGCTTTTTTAGGGCTCTTTAGACTAGGGGTCCGACAAAGGGCCCTTAAAGATTTCTAAAAGGTTCTTAGAGAGGAATCTTTGTGGTTATACGGCTTTCTGTAAGGGTTCCCATAAGAGCTCCCATCAAAGCGCGGGTTTGGTAGTTTTCTGTTTAGCTTGGTCCTGGCTCCAGGGTTTTTGGGTTTATGGTTTGCGCTTGAGGGATTTTGGAACTGTAGGACCTAGGGTTCGATTAGGGTTCAGTGTTGTGGGATGTTGTGGGTTTGGGGTTTGGAATTGTAGAGTTCGAGCTTCGGGGCATGATTCAATTTCAAAGAATCAGGGACCCCAGTACAGATGCTCAGCAGTAGATCCTGATTGCAGAAGGTTGCTCGCTTTTGCCTCTACAAAACCCTACTAAACAGACCCCTTTGAGATAAGAAAATTCACCTACTGTAGGTAGTATTAATTCGAATAGTGTTTGGAGCTCCTTTGTAGCATAGTGATTATAAGGAACCCTACAAGGAAGAAGCGTGTTGATTTTTTTCGGCCTTTATATTAAACCCTAAACCCTCCCTAAACCCTAAGCCTAAACGGCCAAGGTCTGTCAGCGTAGACCCGGGTTCCGCAGCCAGCGATGCATGGAGGCGACGCGAGCTTCTGTTGTCTGAAAGAGTTTTGGGTGGAGGGTGTCGGGTCTTGCGTGTGTCGACTAGAAACTAAGGGTTTTCTAGGATTTCATGAGGGTTTATGCAATTTTTCGGGCTTTTCACATTGGTCGTGCATGGCTGACGCTGACACTCCTAGTCCTATGCTTTTTGTTTTGTGAGAGCCCACTGTTGATGGACAAGGTGCTGCATCATTCTCATGGGAACTACTGAGCTTTTTTGATGTAGGGGCTTGACAATATTAGTGATACTATTCCTCGCGGGCTCCTAATGCAGCTACTGTATATCGTACTCCCCAAACTCGAGTCTGCTTCATGAGTTCCCTCCATGTTGTTTTCTCTGAATGACTGCCCTGAACCCCATGAGCCCTAAGCCTTAAGCCCTGAACCCCTGAACCGTGAACCCTTCACCCTCCATCGATGGCCTGACCGCTAGATTGCGGCTCTTGGGTCGTAGCTGTTCGGACCCACATGGGCTTTGCCTGCAATCCCAAACCTTACAATTCTCACACAATACCGTTATTACTCTTTTTTTGCGATTGTTGCGGTCAATGTTATTGTTCATATGATTGTTGCTACTATTATTAGCATTGTTGTTTAAGGATCCACGGATACTTGGGGGTCCAGAGTTGGCGATTTCCGCACTTCAGGGCTTAGGGCTCAAGGTCTACATCCTGGGACCCCTATAAACCCTGAACCCTGATCCCCAAATAAACCTTAAACCCGCCACCTGAGATCTCAACGCCAAAATCCCCCTTTATCCCAACCATCCTAAACCTTATACGGCAAACCCAAGTAAGTGCCTAAACCACTCTGAAACTTGATAGCTCCTTCCACAGGACCGTCATGAAACCTTGCTTGAACCCACTGAAACCCTTGCTGGTTTGAAACGGTAGCCGAACATCTCTTTTCAAGCCCTCAACTCTAAACCCCTAAACCGTACCTTTTGGGTTTCGTCAGTGCCAGGATCGCCTCTAGCAGCAGTACTGCGCAGCCCTGGGCAGGCCGTGACAGAGGGAAACCCCGCGAAGGGGCGTGTTTCGCGGCTTTTTTGGGGGCTGTCCTTGCAGACTTGAATAGTAAGATAGAAAGAGGGATCATTACTGTTAAGGGGATACTGTGGAACTTCGACTCAATGCTCCAAACCCTAAACCCTAAACCCAAAATAAACCCTAAACCCTAAGCCACTTTTGCGGATCTGTCGCACAGGTTCAGCCAGCTATGCCTTGGGGATCGGAGCAGCGAGGTTTTTTAGTAGGAATTAGCTTTTTGCCCTCTTTATGTCCGGGGCTCCTTACTAGAACCGAATACCACGGTTGATGGTATAAATCCTGCGTGACCCAGAATAAGGAATATACCAAATTCCCATAGTGTAGGGTCCTTAAGGTAATGCAGGATTTATGTCATCAACAGTAGGTCTCCTCATCATTAGGGGTTTTATTGGGGAGCCTAGGGAGTCAGATCAAGGAATACCAAATCCTCTAGCTGCCGGTCTGGTGGGTCGGAAAAGTCACTACTCATGTTCCTGAACGGAGCCCATTATCTGATTGCTAGTTGTATTCATGTCATTGTCATTGCTATTGTCATTCTTTTTCTCTTATTGCTATACTTAGACTTGTTCTTCGATGTTAGCGCTACAGGTGCCATTATTCTCCAAACCGCGTCGTGTCTAAATCTGGGAGGTGACTGGCGCACTTACGGAGCCCAAGGGTCAAGCCAGCCAGGTCGGCAAGGAGGCAGGGCCGTTTTTGGGAAGCTTCGGGTAGCTAAGGGTTCAGGGTGTGGGGTTCAGGCTTGAGGCCGTTGTGGGAAGCTTTGGTGGGAATGCTGGGTGTAGCAGTTCTTCTGGTTCTTAGTGCCGCTTTCGGCTTCTTCAGGTGTCATTATGGTTATCGGCTGGTTCTTACTTTTTTGCTATCAGCAGGGTGTTTCACACTAGGGGGCTTATATAGGATTTCACGACCTTGAAGGCATTTTCCGTTCAAATGGGGAGGGGGGGGCCTCCCAGCCTGAAGCCTAAACCCTAACCCTGCACCGTGAGCCTTGAGCCAGGATCTAGCAAAGCTCAGTCTTGCTAAATCGCAAATCCTAAGCCTTAAACCCGCGGGCCCTAAACCCTTAATCTGAAGCCTCAGCCCTAAGCCCTAAACCCCCAATCCTTAAACCCCAAGCTTCTAAGCAATTCCAGTACTTTCCTTGAAAACGGAACCCCAAACCCTAAACATCTAAAGTCAGGGGGTGTGAATGCTCAACCTTACGACCCTTACAGAAACTCCCTCTAGAACCCTTTCAAAACCCTTATGGAACCCTTCTAGAAATCCGAAGCCCTAAGCCATCTACTCAAAGCCCTCATATAAACCTTCAGCCCTAAGCTCTAAGCCTTAAGCCCTGACACCCCTGAAAGTCGAAGTCAGTCCGAACCAAAAATAACCCTAGCCCTTGAAGGGTACTATAGGCTTCTATACTATGGCCCCCTTTAAAGGAGCCCTGAAAGAATCCCGTGTGTTAACCCTTAAATTAACCCTGGCCCCCTAACTCTTCAGCCGAATGCCAGAAATATTACCCTTACCCCTTACAAGGACCCCTTGCCCTTGAAGGGGGTCCCTCGTATGGAACCCTACAGTACCCTTTAAGGGGACCCGACTATACAACCGTTTGGTACCCTTAACAGGAACTCTCAGAAGAACACCAAACCGTACCTCGTCAGGATTTCGAGGATCCCTTATGGCAACCCTTAGTGGAACCCGTTAAGGTACCCTTAAAGGATCCCCTTACAGGATCTCCTTAGAGGAACCCTAAACCCTAAAACCCTAAAACCCTAAACCCTAAAACCCTAAAACCCTAAACCCTAAAACCCCAAGCCCGAAAACCCTAAAACCCTAAAGCCCTAAACCCTAAACCCGAAAACCCTAAAACCCTAAAGCCCTCGAGAAAGCAAAACACCCTAAACCCTAACCCCCCCCCCAAAAAAAACAAAAAACAAAAAACAAAAGACCACTAAAGCCCTAAACCCTAAACCCTAAACCCCAAACCCTAAACCCTAAACCCCAAACCCTAAACCCTAAACCCTAAACCCTAAACCCTAAACCCCAAAAAACTCTTCAGCTCTCTCCCGTCAGGGGGATGGGACAGCTGGGGAGCCCAGTGGTCTGGCGAAGGTTGGCACGGAGGCGCAGTTTGTTGGGGTTTAGGGCTTTAGGGTTTAGGGTTTGGGGTTTGGGGTTTAGGGTTTAGGGTTGTTGGCGTTTCTTTTTTTGGTTTTAGTTTTTTGTTTTTGTTTCGGGGGCCGTTTTAGGAGGGATTTCGGGGCTTTGAGTCTTGAGATTTTTAGGGGTAGGGATGTTTGAGTTTGGCTTTCGGCGGCTTTGGGGGGCTTTGGGCTTGGAAGCTCAGAGGTTCGGCAATGTGGGCCTTTGGGGTTTTGGGGCGTAAGTGTTTAGGGTTTAGGGTTTCGGGTGCAAACCTAACATCCTAAACCCATAAGGCCTAAATCCCAAGCCGGGTTTTTGGATTAGACTTGAGGGTTTACGGTCTAGGGCTTTGCGTGCTTTAGGGTCGGGAGGTGAGGGTTTAGGTTTTCGGGTGGTGGGATTTGTTCTGGGTCTGAAGAAGTTCGAAAGAGGGGATGCGATAGGTCTTCTTTGTCGATGTCTAGCCGCTCGGCATGCAGGCAAGTTCCGAAGAAGGCCAGTGGCCATCAACTGTGAATGGCTTTAGGATTCACGGGCTTCAGGGCTTTGTGGGTCTGCAACACCTTAAACCACAAACAGAGCTCTGAGCCCCCCCCTGCCAGGTGGCTGGAACAGCGGAGCACAGGGAGGAGGCCAAGGCTGGCAAGAAGGCGGGGTATCGCTTCCAAGATGTTTTGGGTTGACTTTCTTTTGAGGGTTTAGGCCCCAAAGCTCTCAGCTTCAAAACCCTAAGCCAACCTAATGTAGTAGGGGTTTAGGGTTTAGGCTTATTCCTTGGGGCTTCTTATATATCAGGCCCCTGCTTAAACTATCAAGGGCCCGGTCTCTATTCAATCCCAAGCCCTTGCCCTAGTTGCTGTGGGTTGAGGTTTCCCGTGTGGCTATCCATGAGCCCATGATCCCTTCTGTGCCGATCCCGAACCTCAAACCCTAAACCTTAAACCCTAGTACCCGAAACCTGAAATCCCAAACCCTACCGAAACCTTAAATCCCAAACCCTAAGCCGTAAATCCTAAAGCCTAAACTGCCCCAAGAAGCTGTGCCCAATTCTGCAGCCCAAGACCAGGATTTGAGGTTTAGGATTTGGGGGTTTGTAGGGTTTACCTGTGCTCCAAAAGACCTACTTTTTTCGTTTAAGGGGGCTATACATGGGAACCATCATAAGGAACCCTGAAGAGGTCGGTTCTTTCGGCTACAGGTAGGGGTTTAAGTTCTAGGGTTTAGGGTTTAGGGTTGTAGGTTGTAGGTTTAGGGTTGTAGGGTTTAGGGTTGTAGGTTGTAGGTTTAGTGTTGCGTTTAGGGTTGTAGGGTTTGGGNNGGGTTTAAGTTTTAACACTTCTTCACCTGAAGCTGCAGCCCTAAGCCCTCCCTACCGAAAGCTTCAGCTCCGAGAGACGAGACTCGTAGCTTCAATCCCTCATAGAACCAGCCTCATAGAACCCTTATAGGGTCTTGAAAGGGCACCCCCCCCCCCC